AAAATGAATAAAAAGGACTCTGTATGCCGTGAACTTGTAGTTCATCCCCACCCGACCCATTACAGCAGAGGTACAAGGGTGGTGGTGGGGGATTTTGCTCACCCAAAAAGCCCTGGCACAGGGAGGGCTGCTGCACAGACAGCTGCCCCATGGTTGATTTGCTTGTTAAAAAAATATGCCAGGAGGTTCTGTCAGGGGCCTCTTGCACAATGTCTGTTTTAGCACTCTGTTAGGGCACATTCAGAGAAGCAAAGGGGGGTCAAGAAAAATGGGAGAATGCCTCAGTGTGAGCAGGAGAAAGCATGGGGGAGGGAGGGAGTGCTTAGGAGAGAAGGCAGAGGAAGCCAAGCACCTCTGGAGAGACAGAGGCAGGAGGAAGTCAACACAGAAGTGGCTCAGCAGAGCACAAGTAAGGCTGGAGACAGGAAAAATGTATGCCCAGGCTGAATCCTCCCATTAACTGTTGCTGCATTAGAGCCATTGTCATGCAAGGTGAGTTCTTGCGATCATTTTCAGTTGCTAACCTTTTCATCTGAATGCAGCACAATGCAATGAAAACTTGGACAGTCTATCCCAGGGGTCCTCAAACTTTTTGAACAGGGGGCCAGTTGAAAGACTGTGGTGACCGTCGTGGGCCGGTGGTGCCGTTAGGCGCGCGCGGCATTGGGTGCGTGGGGCGGTGGCTCGCTCGCTCGGAGATCTCCCAGCCAGGCCAGAACCATCTCCGAGCAAGCCACCACCTCCCCACCCGCATTGCGAGGCGGTGGCGAGCATGCACCTACGGGAGGCAGGCAGCGGCAGTGGCCTGCTCTCTCAGAGACCATCTCCAAGCATGCGCGTACAGGAGGCAGGCAGTGGCGGCTTGGAGACCCTCTCCGAGTGAGCGAGCAAGCCACCACCTCCCCGCCTGCGCAGCAAGCGCGCGGGCCGGCGGCGAACGGCAGCGCGGGCCGGATCCATCCTGCGGGCCGTAGTTTGAGGACCCATGGTCTATCCTCTATGTGTGAATGCAACTTGAGAAATTGTTAGTATAAGTTTAATGGGAATACGTAACAGGGAAGACTGTAGCCACGTGACATGCATGCCTACCTGTTCAATGTTGATGCACAACTTCAAGGCCCCCTTTGGCTAGTTTTTACCCTTTAAATTGGACTTGGACTCAGAGGCTGTGCTAGGGAGAGGCCACTACAGCAAGAGCCCCAAATCTTCCACCTGGATCTGTAATTTTCTGTGAGGCCATCAATCCCACTGCCTTACAATCTATGGGCTCTTACAGAAATAATGGCACAAGTGCCTGCCTGTATCTGAACCTTAACTGGCTTTTTGCCACATGGGCTTCACCTCCTGCTGCCCCCACCCCAAAACTTGCCTGAGTTTTTTCCAAAATGAAACACCCTCCTCTCCCTTATCCACATATCTCTTTTTACAAATAAGAGTGTGTTTAGGAGGCAGTGCCTTTAAAATCATTCAGACATTGCAGACTTTAGAGCACATGTTAATTCAAATAGGCAAGCTTGTGTTTTTTCCTTCCTTTTCCATGGGCTGAAGTGCAGGATCTTTTTCATATCTAGCACTCAGACCAGACAGTCCCCCTAAGAGAGGACATCTTCAAACATCTTCTGCAAAAGGACACCCTGGCACCCTAGGACCAGGAAAAATTTGGCAAGAAGAGGAGCATGCAATAATTTCTGATCACAGGAGAGCTTCCAGGCCACAACACCTTACTGTGGGATGATGAACTCTGTGATTGGCAAACAGAAGGAGAGCTGGAAGGACAGCAAGAGAGGTAAAGCCAGCCAGCCAGCCAGCCAGCCGGAAAACAAAGATGTCTAAGAAGGCAGGAAGCCAACGTGATGGAGGAAAACGCAAAGGAGCGAGCTGGTGCAAGGAGCAGAAGGCAGAAAGAACACAGGAGCCAGACAAAAGCCAAGCAGTAGATGGTCAAACTAGAAGCAAGACATGGTCCCATAATCTTTCCCCCAGTATTTTAAAAGAACAGAAATGGGGGAGGCTGGCGACTGCAATGTCAGGGTGGCACTGCCCTCATCCAAAGCAAGCCCTTTCTGTTGACAGTGTTGTTGTTGCTATATTGCACTTGTATCCCGCCTTTTTTCCTCTTGTGAGGAGCCCAAGGTTGCTTACGCAGCTCCATTTATCCTCACAACAACAACCCTGTGAGGTAGGTTGGGTTGAGTCTGTAACTGGCCCAGTCACCCAGTGAGTTTCATGGCCAAGTGGGGACTAGAACCCAGATCTTCTGGGTCCCCGGTCCAACATGCGAACCACCACACCGGACCTGGCTTTCAAGCATCACACGAGCTTTGGAGGAGCTGGCCATGGTCCTGAACGCCATCCCCAAATAGGCTCACCACTGTTGACACCACGGATAGCTCCTAGAAAGCTGAAAACGGCTGCATTGGATGAGGAGCCCTGCGGACATGGCAGCCATCAGCCTCCCCTGAATATGAATGCAATCTGAGAAGGTAGGGGGGAAACTAATATAAATGAAGGCACTCAAAGAAGGGGGGGGACCGCTTTTTCCAGGTTGGTGCCCTCCAATTATATTCAGCTCTGCCCCAGCCGGGATGTTCAACAAGCAGGAATGCAAACCACCAGGAGGGCAGCTTAAGCTCCAACCCTGCAGCCATTTCTTTGCTCAAAATTTCTGTCCTCAAGCTGTTTTTCTCCCTGCAAGGGGAAAATGATCTCCCCACCCACACCCCAGTCATCAGTGAAAAACAGATGGCTGATTTGGTGAAGGCAAATGGGCAGAGCAAAAGGCTGAAGCAATATATCCATCATGCTTCTAATTTGGACCCAGTAGGGAAAAGAGGAAAGAAAGGGGGCTGGGGACTAAGGGGACTAAGCAAGAGGAGGACAGGAGCACCAATGAGCAGGTTGCCAAGGCTGAACTCAGGCAGAAATACAAGAGGTGAAGCAAAGGGCACAGCGAGCAAAGTGGGGGGAAGGAAGAGGAGAAAGAGAAGGGGTCATAGAGAGAGTAAGCCACTGTGACAGATACGTGTAGATTATCTAATTTATTTTTATTTAATAGATGTAGATCCTACCTTTTTCCTGCAAGAAACCCAAGGCCGCTCACACAATCCTCCTCTCCATTTCATCCTCACAACAATCCTGCAAAGTTGCTTAGGCTGAATGGCCGGCCAAAAGTCACCCAATGAGCTCCAAGGCCAAGCATGGACTAGAGCTTTGAAATGGCCTTCCTGTCGGGCATGCTAACCACTATGCAATGACCGCCCATGCCTTTGAGAGGCAAAACGCCCCTTCCTGGAATCACATCTGCTCCATTTCCATGTGTTCAGTTTCATATTAGATTCTGCTGGGCGGGCGCTGGGGTCCAAAATGCATCTGCAGGCTGTAGGTGCACCTTGTTTTGCAAGTCAATCAGAAGAAGCATGGCAAGGGCCCATGCAGAGCAATTCAAAAGCAAAATCTGGAACTCCCATACAGATTTCTTTTAAAGGAGATGGAACTCTATGGTTTGCCTCCAGCACAGGGGTATGGAACCTCTTCAAACACAAGGGCCAAATTCTATTTCAAAAGCTCTCCAGGGAACATACCAGGGCTGGGCAGGGCTGAAGGCAAAAGGACAGTCCTCCGGTTAGAGTTAAAACCCACTTCCTTTCAAATTGCAGCGCTTGATTCTACATTTGCATTGCTATATACACAAATCAACACATGGAATTTTCATGGTAAATGACACCTTTTTGTCCTCTTTTTCAGGTGATTTTTTACGTGGGCACCCTACACAGCAGGCAACTGATGAGAAACTCTCCCATCTTCTGGTTTAGTTTCCTGTTTGGGGGAATTTGTTATTTTTCATGCATGGACACATTCTAGCTATACCTAGAGTTGCTGGAGGGGAAAGGAGAAACCATACATCAATCACTTTAGTAATGTTGGTAGGATAGATAAAGGTGAAGCTGTTGCTTTCCTGGAGGGGTGGAGGAGTGAAAGGGCAGAGAAAGACAAAGCAGCATCAAGCAAAGCTCAGAGGGAGCTCCTGTTCTGCCAAACAACAGACCCAGCCCAGCCCAAAGTAAAGGTCTTTTCCCTCCCTCCTCTGAAGGGGCAAACCAAAATGCCAACCTATGAGGAACAGCATGTTGGAGGTCTTCCCTAAAACACTGCATTGTCTCAGATGAATCATCCTTCCAAGTGCCTGTTGGAAACTCAGATACACCCTCAGTACAGGTTGCAGTTGGGGGGAAGGACACCCCATATTTTTAGGAAAGAAAAAGCAGACTTGTGCATCTATCTTGGGCCAATGGAACTGGATAGAAAACCAAAACCCCATTCTGAGCCCAACGCATCTCATTTAATCCATTCTCTGCTTGAGATTTCAGTAGCCTTTGCCCACAATGGTTTCAAGCTTCATGGCCACAGGGACTAGAACTTTGGGGAGGGGTGCTTTTTGTTTTTTATATTTTTTTTCCAAAGGAAAAGTTTAGATTATTAGGGATACAAACTGCTGTGGCTATAGAGAAATCCTGGCCCTACGATAAGGTTCTGTGGCAGTTTAAGATCCAGAACTGAATGATGCAGGGTCTTCCTCTCCAAAGTCTAAAGAAGCTACACCACCAGGTTTAGCTCCAGCAGCCAACTCTTTTTAGGCTGGACACAAAGAGTGTTAACAGTCAACAAGTGATTTGAGAGGGGCATTATTTCCCATGGTTCCATTGTTATTGTGTTCAGTCTTTTTTTTTTTTTTTTGAATAATGGGGGAGGAACCCTTCCAAATCTGTGTAACCCAAGGGTAAAGGGAGAGCATGAATGTCTGCATCCACAGTTATAATTCTTTTTTTTCAAGCCATCTTCAACTTTCAAATGAAAGTCTTCCTCTCTCCAGACTCAATCTGCTCCCCACTACTCACACCTCATCCCCTGCCACCCAAGAAACAAGTCATCAGTCAGGACAAGGAAAAGAGGAAGCCACAGAGGAGGAAGAGGAGGAGGAAGAAGAGGCAGAGTAACAGAAGTTAGCCAGAATTAGAATTTTATTATAGTAACAAGGAAACGGTGAAAAGAAGAACAAGCATCCATTTAGAAGGGTTTCCCTGAGATATTGCATCGTGACTGAGCAGACACTGCCAAAGACACTAAAGCCCAGAAATACACGTGAAGCAAACTGCTAGGAAAAGAAACGGCTTCTGCTTTGGGATCAGCAGCTTTCAGGGGGAAATGAAAGCTGTGGTTAGATGTATTCCAGTTGGGGTGGAGGGTGAGTTTTGTGGTTTCATTAATTGCCTAAAAACGCTCACCCTTCAACCCTTTAGGTTCATGCATTGTGACATATGCATTAATACCCATTTCCTTCCTGGGGACAATCTACATGTACAGCAACATCTGAGTATTCAAAAAAGTCCCAAGTTTACTGATTTGTAGATTGTTTCTGTATATGACATATATCATAAATCACATACAGAATATGTGAATATACATATGCACATAAGCATACTGCACTCCTATACACACTAACCTCAGAATAAGTCCTACTGAATTCAATTGGACTTACTTCTAAGTAAACATGCCTAAGAATGCATTGTTCGTTCAATTTTCCAGCTAGAACCATTCCACAGAAAATAACAATATTAAAGCTTATAAGGAAGAATCTGTGCCAAAATAGGCATTTATAAAGTCCAATGGATTTGAATAAGAGAATGTGAAGTGATCATTATCAAAGGGTCTACAAATGCTCAACTGTGTTACTGTTTCTGACAATGTTTAATGCTTGATGTTTGGGAGTTTCTTTAGCTATGATACTGTAAAGCATGCTTAACGCGTGAAGTAACATTGGGTGAAACCCAGAACACTCTCTCTCTCTCTCTCTCTCTCTCTCTCTCTCTCTCTCTGTGTGTGTGTAAACACATTTGCTTCTCTTTGCACAGATGTGCAAAACCCTTGCACAAGATGACTTGCATAGGAGAGAGATGCAAAACAGCATCTGCTTGTTTAAACAGCAGCACATGTAACTGACCCCCTAGATGTGTTTGCCCTTTCTTGATGCAAGGAAGAACCCTGCTATCCCTGCAGACAAAGCCGTTTCTCTGCATCACAGCTATTCGGAAGTGGGGGGAAAACCCTGAAATGTGCTTACATTTCTCCATAATAAAATTAAAAGCAGGGAAATAACATTTGTAAACAAAATACTATGATTTCCCCCAGACTTTAAAATAATAATTAAAAAAACATCCTGAAAGTTTTCACAGAAAAATAGAAGACCTTGCTTCAACCACTGCCAATGCTGAGCTGATACCCAAAGCAGATCTGAAATGCAGGAGAGCGCACAGAAAGGAGTAAAGTGGGAGCGTAGCATGAAGGAGGATAACATACAAGAGCAATCAAAGAGAAGGAAGGACAGGGGATGAGAGAAGGGAAGCATTCCAGAGAGAGCCACGGATCAGTCCGAATAGGAACTAACCCAAATGGCAGAGGTGAGGAGCCTGTGGCCCCTCCTTGTGGTTGAATTCCAGCTCCCACCAGCCCTGGCCAGCACAGCCCATGGCTGGAGATGGTGGCAGCTGCAGCCCAGTAACAGCTGGAAGAACACAGGCTTCCCACTCTTGGTATGTAGCATGCCTATAGCACAAAGACATCAAAGGGGGAAGCAGCCGTGCTTCCCCCGGGAAACCCTGGGTGCTGTTGCATGTGCATGATTGTTGGGAACTCAGAATTGAGAATCCTGGACATTTACAATTCCCAGAATTCCTTGGGGAAGCTAGCACAAGCATCAGCTTCTGGTGCAGGCGGGTCCAAATTCAGAAACAAATTTGAAATTGTGTGCATTAGAACAATGTCAGCTAAAACCAATCAAGACTACAACAGCCTCCCCCAACTTAATGCCCTCCAGATGTGCTGGGTCACAACTCCCAGCATCCCCAGCCTACACCTTGGGAGAGGATCAACTTGGGAAAGACTGGTATAAAACCTGTCATTTTGTGCATTCTCCTTTAAAGGCCCTACTCCCTTGGTTAACTTCTTCCAAAGTTCCTTCATAGGATGATGTAAGTATTACACAACTTGGAAACAGGATCAAAATTTTGTAAGAAGGATGCAAAGAAGATAAGGAGCCTCCCTATCATTGCTGTAGAACACAGAGAATTGTAGGGTTACTGTTGAAGGAAAGCACTTTGACAGGCCGCCAACTCCATCTCCCACATCATACTTTCTCTTTAATCCAGTAATTTTGGTGATCCCAATGCCTGTAATCTAGTGGTGATTAAATGTTTTCAGTTTGTCCTGCACCTGAATTTGATCCAACCACTGGCCTGGCCTGACAGCAAAACACAGGAGAGGCCAGAATTCTGAGTCATGCTGAAGGGTGTTATGGGAGCCATGGGACATTCCAGAGCTGTCCACAGGGGCCACGGGAAACTCCTAAGCTATCTCCAGTGTTAAGTGTGGTATTGGTTGCGAGGTATCAGCACCAAGTTCCTAACTGCCTGCCTTCGCTCTCTCCCTCTCTCTCTCTCATTCTCTCTTCCTTTCTCTCTTTCTCACACACACAGAGTTCTCAGTGCCAGGTCCCACCATCTGCGCCATCAGCTCACAGGCACCTCTAAGTTGCTCAGCACCAATGCTTGGTCCCTCAGTATGGAGTGAAGCGGTTGCATCCTCCTCGGTACAGGCTGGCCTGTCAGAAAGAGAGGAAGCATCCATGTAAATTAAGAATCCCAAAACGAGGGGACAGGAAGGAATCCAAAAATCCTCCACCCCACACTCCATCCTCTCCTGTAGCAAATCCTATATATAATGCCTCTCCCATTTCCTTCCCTTCCTTGGGGCTGTCCTGCCTTTCAAAATATCACACCAGCATCTCCTTGCAGGAGGGAACTGTCCACTGAAGTACATAACTCTGGAAATTGCTATACAAAATTTGGCCACATTTCTTTTAAAAATGGGATCTACAATGCTGCAGCATGGAATGTTCTTGTTTCTGGATACTAGCCATACCTTTTTCCAGGATACTCCATTCCCTTTCAAATTATCTGCATTCCTCAGCCACTGAGCATACATTATTCACACTGAGCTGTTTTGGGGTCCTGTGCCTTAGGGGTCTCCCCAAGTCTTTTTGTACTTCTGCACATGTTCTTCCTGTGTGTGGTTGGTATCCCTTTGGCTACATAAAGGCCCACAGAGAATGGGTTTGATACGATTACATACGGAACCTTTTCATAGTCTAGTCCAATCCCTTAGCAAAAAAAGCTCATGCAGGAAAACCATCCCAATCCCGTTGCATATCAACTCCCACAAGCCAAAATACAATGCAGCCCAATCAGAAAAAGGATCCACATCAGAACACGGTGCCTGAAGAAGGAAGGGCTCGACGATGATTTAGAAAGTACTGGTGGGGAGTGTGCACAGGAAGCATGAGCGATAAAGAGCCTCCATGCATTCTTCCTTTCAGGAGCAGCATGCCTGCCTCATACAGGAAGCTTACACAGGGACACCTTCTCTGGTACAGACCTGCCCAGCCACTGTGCTCCTCTGCAGCGGCTCTCCAGGTTGGGCACATCCTATAGTTGGTGATGATCAAGAAGAGGACCTCCACTCAGTGCACCCACCCTCTGGAATGCCTTCCCCACCCAAAACATTGGCAAACCTTGCTGGGATTTAGGTGCATGTTGAGGATTTGATTTTACTCATTTCAGCTTGTGGCGACTTTCTATGGCCTGATTTTTAGCGGGTGGCTGATGTGGTGCTTTTAGTGTCTTTTGATTATTTTTGTCTATTGCTATCATACATTCCGATACTTACATTAAGGTTTAATTGTTGTACACAAACCTGGATAGATATTTAAGTTTTCTATATTTTGACAAGCAATATAGAAATATTGTTGAATGAATTAATCGATAAAATATACAAGAGATACAACATTTTCCTATTGCATATGACACAGAAGCTAAAGGCAATTTTGTCCTCCAATTCTTTTTCCACTGGGATGTATAAAACTGCCAAATATTAAGCACCAATACTTGAATCTCACATGGAACCAAATGTATGAGAGCAGGTGAATATTGTATTTATTATGAATTTTGGGGAGTCCCTTAGTGATCAAGCAAACACTACCATCTGCTGGTCATTTTGCAGTAACACAGTCGAGTTACACTTGATAGGGCAGCCTCTTCCAATCTGATGCCTCACAGATGTTTTGAACTTCAGCTGCTGCCCAACTCAGTCAGCCTAGCCAACTATCACTAATGCAGGGAGTTGTCCAAAACACCTGGAAGGGATCAGGTGCGGGAAGCCTGAACGAGAGTACTGGGCATTCCCCAATATGCTTGCCCTGAGTGATCACGTAACATGTAGCCCTGCAAGCAAGACTTTTGCTCTTCTGTTTCCTAACCTTTCATGAAAAACTGGCTGTTGTGACCATATGAAAGTTCTTTCTATGAACAGTTACATTTTTTGAATATAAGAATGCTTATCATCATTGTAAATTATTGTAGGCTCACTTAGTTGATTAAGTGCAATTTATGGTTCTTTATGTGACTCCCTTTATAAAATTGTAAGGAGAACCTGCTGTAATGGTTGGGAATATCAGAACCACTCATTGATTAATTTCCTAGAAGCAGTGGCAGTATCAGGAACAGTTACTGTTGTTACTACTACTACTGTTCAGCAGCAGCATCTAAGCCAAATTTTCTCCCATTTTGTTTTGGTTTTCAGGTTGAAATCACTGGGAAGGGAAGAGAAATATTCTCCCACTAACACCCCCCACACACTCACATATTCCTCCAAAAGAGGGCGATCCTTTTGCATCCCTGGTTACAGACCTTTTCCCCACCAACTGCTGCTTAGGAAGCATGGTGCCCTCTTTTTGCAATTGCATCTTCCTCATCCTCCTATGCCTCCCCGACCTTCTCTTTTAGTCACATGCACAGTAATCCAATTTTGGCAGGGCTGGGCAACTCAAGGCCCTTCAGATAGGCTGGCCTAGAACACCCTCCACTATCAGCTATGCTGGCCAAGGACTGATCAGAGTTGTAGGCCAGAACTTCTGGAAGGCGACAAGTTGTTCTCCCCTGAGTTAAGGATTGCATGGAATGCTGCCACCATGATGCAGCACCAACTTTATTATAACACCAAGGACAAGTAAAAACCTTCTTTTTTCAGGGTGCTTATGGTGCGCCACAGACCATTCTAACTGCACTTTTTAACATATTATATTTTATTTTTATTTAAATACGTACATTGTAATTTTATCTTGTTCTATTTTACTGTGATATTTCAAACTGTGTTGCTTTTATCTAATGTTATTTTATTGACATTTGAAAGTCGCCTACTAGCATTACGCTCTCTGGCTGGGCAAATAAGTCAATGAATTCAGTAAATAAACAAACATTCCCTCTTCCACACACACACTTTCAAAGTAGTCACCTAATCTGTGCTGGGGCAATGGAGAAGAGGTGCTTTTTCAATTGTGGTAAAATGATCGTGGTGGGTGGGGAAGTAACCACATCTTGCCACTCTAGAGCAGCTTGAGGGGACAATGCTTCTTTGGGCAAATCTGCCTTCCCATGTGGGAGCCAGCTCACCTGCCTTCACCATCTCAAGCTACCTGAGTTTTAAGCAACTTCCCCCAGCCATGCTGTTCAGGCCATACATCGCCAGGGCCTAGGCTGATTCTAAGCTGGTGATCCTGCTTTTCAAAGGGATGGCCTTCGGTCCCCACCCAGCTCTGTGATTCTAGGAGCGAGACTGCTACAATGGCTCACCATAGCACCGACTCCATAGGCGGGGGTTACTGCATGGTGATAGGGCTCGGCAGTCGTGTAGACCCGTCCATACCTGTGTGGGCCGGGGGAAAAGAAGAGCAAGGAGAACATCAGTAAGCAAACCCCGAGGGCAAGGTGATGAACCTCAGGCAAGAGGGCCAAATCTGGCTTCCAAGCTTCCTCTGGATAGCCACGTCCCCTTCCCCTGACTCACCCCCATTTCCCCCAGATGCTAACTTTCTAAAAATTCCTTGGCTTTTGCATGTTTCTGCCCATTCTCAAAGGCTGAAATGCCTCTCCTAAGGCTGATTTACAGGCAGCAAGGGTTTTAAACTAAAACATGCAGGTATCTGGCCTCACCCCTTTTGCCTTTGGCCATGCCTACCCCTGGAATGGGAGCTTCTCCAGAATGGACTTTGGCCGTAGGGCTGGAAGAAGTGCCACACCCCCGTCTGGGGTTCATCAAACCAGAGACACTGTGGATTCTGCTGCACTGCGCATCTTGTTGCCATGTGCCGTCAAGCCATCTCCAGTTGATGGCAGCCCTATGCATGCAAGTCATCCAGAATGTCCTATCCATGACAGCCCTGCTCGGCTCTTGTGCATCCAGGCTGTGGCTTCCTGTATGGAGTCAGGCAGGCTTTAGACTTACCCATCACTGTAAGCTGCTGCTGCTGTTGCTGCAGCTGCTGCCGGAGTCTGGGCCACTCTGTAAGCTGCAGGATAACCCTGAAATTCAAAGGACAATGACCAATCAGACCAATGGCCCAAAGTGTGTCCCCACCCCACCCCCACATACCATTCCTCAAAAAGAAAACAATGACTTCCTGCACTCGGTTTCTTTGCCCCTTCCTGAATCAGCCAAGCATCAACCAACCTAGCATGCCTCCACTTCACAGGGCCACATTTTTGCAGGAAGAAATACTTCTGCCCAGTGGGTCTCTCTCCTTCCACGCATTCCCTTGGCATCCCGGAGAACCTCTAGGCCAGCCATCCTTGTGCCCTCCAGATTTTTCAGACCACAACTCCCAGCACTGCTGACCCTTAGCTACAGTGGGGCTGATGAAAGTTGAGGTCTAAAACATCTGGATGGGACAGGTGTTTGGGGTAGGCAGTGCTAGCCACAATATCAGCGTGTAAGAAGAGTCATCCAGGAGCAGACCCAAAGTCCATCTAGTTTAGCATTCCGTTCAACCAGCTGCCTGTGAAAACGGACCAACCATCAGGCCAGATGGACCTGTCAAACATCAGTGCGATAGCACCCTCCCAGGCAGGAAGTACACCGCTGCACTGCCTCAGCAGCAGCACTGGTAGCCATCAATAGCCTTCATCTCCATGAATTTGTCCAGTCCCCTTTTAAAGCCTTCCAAGTTGGTGGCCATCACTACATCTCACGAAGGTGAATTCCATAGTTCAGCTATGAGACAAAGTACTTCCTCTCACCTTCCCTGACTCTCCTACCAATCAGCTTCACGGGATGAGCCCCACTGGTTTCTAGCTTTGTGGAAGAGGGAAAATGTCTCCCTCTCCACTTTCTACACACCATGCACAATTTGTACTGTTCTATCACGTCTCCCCTTACTAACTGGTTCTCTAAGCTATTCCGTTCCACTTTAAATGGGTCAGCCTTGCCACACCTTGTGGGAGCGAATTGCACAGTTTAACTGCATGCTGCAACAGCTGATGCCTGAGCTTAATGAGTCAAATCCCCATAACCACATGATGGCGTCTTTTACCCAGGAGAGATCCCACATGTTTGAACTGTGCAGTGAGGCACAAGCCAGGAATCAGGAGTAGCCCTTGTGGCAGCATGCCCAAAGGCTGCGTACAACACAACGATTGTCCCCTCTCCCACCTCATCCCTACCCCACTGGTGAAAGAGTGGTGGAGCACCTGCTGTACATGCAGAAGGTCTGAGGCTTGGTCTTGGCACCCTGCCTGAAACCGCAGAGAGCTGCTGTCAGTGCTAGACAGCCAAGTGCTCTGACACAGAGCAAGGAGGCACCCAGTGCCTAGGCCACAGCCTGCTTTCCCATGCCAACTTTACAGTTGGTTTTGGAGCATCCCTTCACCCCTGCCAACTCCCTGTGTCCTGCCAGTTTCACAGTGCCATTCACTAGCTTGCCCCTGCTAGGAGCTGCTTGAAAGATCCACCCCACGGTCTTTTCCTTGCCCTTCTCCCCCTCCTTTGTACTCCACCCTTTCCTCTGCCCCAGCACATATATGCAGGACCTTTGCATCTACTCCGCAAAGACTCCCAGCCAAGGACTTACGTAGAGGTCAGAACCATACAGACCATCTGGATAGAGCACGCTGGGTGGATAAAGAAAAAAAGGAAAAAAGAAAGAAGAAAATTCAATGGACTGGAGATGCTGAGAGCTGACGTTCCATCCTTAAGGAGGTCCCGCCTCCCTCAACTATCACCACCGGCAGCCGTTCCATCAGGCTGTTCCAAGGGCAACGGGGGGAGAAGCGAGGCCATGCTATCAGCCTTATCAAATGATTTGGCTTTCCCCCTCTTCCCTCCCTGTTTGTTTCTCCTTGCATTGTTGCATCTTATTAAATTGTAAGTCTGCAAGCAGGAATTGTCTTGCTTTATAATTATATATAAGCCACTCAAGGGCCCTTTTGGCCATGACATGAGATAAAAATACATTAAGCAAACATATAAATGCACAGAGAGAGAGACACACATGAATCTGGAGGGCACCAGATCGGAGAAGGTTGTTTTACAACAATAATGTTGAAGCAGTCCTCATACATCTGCCTGCCTGCCTCTCTCTTTCTCCTTCCCACTCCAGGTCCAAATAGATTCTGGAGCAGTGAATGGTATAAGGTTAAAACATAGAAAAGAATAAAAATAATACAATAACAGCATTAAGACCATGGTTGGTCAGCAAGAAAAGGCTTCCCAGAACAAGACTGTCTTTAGCAAGCAGTGAAAACAGCACAGTGTCAGTGCCCACCTGACCTCCTGAGACAGGGAAATCCATAGAAATGGAGACACCACACTGAAGGCTTTTCTCCTGGTGGACTCCAGGTGGACCGTGGATCCATGTGCAGCCACCAGGAGCATGTCCTCCTTGAAGGCTGGTATGAAAGAAGGTGCTCTCTCTGTTATCCTGGTCCTAAATTGTTCAGGGCTTTGTACACTAGTCACACACCTTAAAGCTGGCTTGGTAGCAAACCAGTAGCCAGTGCCTTCAGCAAGGCTGAAAAGAAGCAGCTGCAGATGTGCTAGCCCCATCTCCAGCTGCTGGGGCAGCATTAAGGGCAGTCCCATATAAAGCACATTACAGCAGTCCACTCTTGAGGCTACCAGCACCTGTATCACTGTGGCCAAGTGGTCCCTGTCTGGGAGAGGCCAGACCTGGCGAACCAGTCAGAGATGGTAAAAGGCATTCCAAGCCATGACATGCACTTGGGATGCATTAGGTCTGTGAGTGCTCCTGCACTGCAAAGTCTTTTGGAGGAGTGCAATCCCCATCCCTTACAGGTAATAAACCAATCTCCTGGACTCAGGAACTGCTCCCCCCCAAGATTTCTGTCTCGCCAGGATTCAGCTTCAGCATATTGGCTCTCATCCAGCTCATCACTGAGTCCAGACACTGATCTGGGACTTGCATAGACTCTCCTGATTGCTGTCATAAGGAGAGCGAGTCTTGTGTCATTGGCACGCTGCTGACACTTGGCTCCAAATCCCCTAACGATTCCCCTTCCAGCAGCTTCATACATTCAGGACAGGAAGGTACCCTGCAGAACCTCAGAGCTCAGTTGCCAAAGGTTTGAGGAGTAGTCCAAGGTTACTGAATCAACCCTGCAGGTAGGACCGGAGCCACTGTAACAGAGCACATCCAATACCTAGCTCATGGGGTCAATCCAGAAGGATACCCTGGTCAGTGGCATCAAAAGCCAGTGAGAAATCACGCTGAATATCAGAGTTGCATTCTCTGCCTCTCTCCTGATAAAGGTCATCCGTCAAGGTGACCAAGGTTGATTTGGTCCCATAAGCAGGGCAAAACCCAGAAATGGGTCCAGATAATCAGTATGCTCCAACAGCACCTGTAGTTGCTCTGCCACCACCCTCTTAAGTACATCCCCTTAAAATGGGTATTGCTACTAGGGGTAGTTATCAAATATTGTTGGGTCCAGAGCGTATTCCTCAGGAGTGGCCACACCACTGCCTCCTTGAGGACAGCAGGAACCATCCAGTCATGCCAAGATGCATTTACCTGAAAGCACTCAACAACCTTGTCTTCCCACCTGTCCCAGTGATGCTCACCTGCCATAGGCTGGAACTGGAGAGGGGGCGGGTGCTGCTCGAATGGGGTTATAGATTGCGGCTCGGCCACGTCCTCGCAGAGCCCCACGATATGCCAGGGCAGCTGGTGCCATCATTGGGTAAGGGATGCTTGCCACTGGGAAAGCGGAAGCAGGATATATGGAGAGAGGAAGAAAATGGGCATCCCATTAGGGGCAGAAATGGCAGAAACAGACTGGAACATGGAAACCAATGGAGCCAAGAAGTAAAAGGCATTCGACAGTGTAAAGGATTTGTCAGGGAAGGGAAAGGAGTAAACCCAGGGACAAACTACACATTACATGAATGTGATTAGACTGCTGGGCTGGGACTTGTGTGATTCAGCTTCTTATCCACACTTGTGCATGAAACTCCCTGGATGATTTTTGGCCAATCACTGACTCGTAGCCTAACCTACTTCACAGAGTCATTGTGAGGAGAAAATGGAGCTGTGTAAGCTGTCTTGGGTTCCTCACAAGAAGAAAAAAGGCAGGATATAAATGCAATGCCATAATACTAATAAAAGGGGTGTTGTTCTTGTTGCTAAGTTGTTGTTCTTTGGTTTTATGATTGCAAACCAAGCAGAGGGTCTTTACCTGTTGGCACGCAAAGAAATGACTTCACTCCCATCCTTGAACCTCAGGTGCAGCACCCCTGTGGTGGGGTACCTTAAAAGTCCAGAGGCAGAAATGCTGCTCTCACAGTCACGTGAGGAGGCGAAAAGGAGCCCCATGACCTGGTGTGAAGCAGGCTCCTTGAACAGGTTTTGGGCCAACCTGCAATGCTTTGGCAGCTGAGACAACGATAAGGTGTATTTGACTATGTTGTCCTGATAGCCTCCCATGAAGAACAGACAAACCTTCTTACAACTTCAGTGCTGTTTATTTCCATCAGAAGCTCAATGGTCCCCAGAAGCTTCTAGCAAGCTTCCCATGCTGCCTCGCGGAAGGCAATGCCTCCTCCTATAAATATTAACCCTTTGCTCTTCCCAGTACCGGTGCATGGACTTTACTACAGCGGCCACCTACCTGTGTACAGGTCAGGAGCATAGACAGCCCCAACAACTGGATTGATCTTCCAACCTGCAAAGGACAGGCACAAAGAGAAGAGACCCAGAGGAGAAATTTGTTCTGTTCTCTGCCCATGATAACTTGTACCATCCCACTCCCTCCACCCCCACCCAAATTTCACCAAAACATAGTCTAGTCCTGTTTGGAACGGGTCTCTTTCCCAAGCAAGCACCCAAAGCTGCAGAACCCACTCCTTGTGCTGCTGTCCAACAGGGTTGCTGTGATATGTGCGAATGCTACAATAATGTGTGACTGATTAAGTCATCTGAACTTGGCAACACTCAGCCTCTGAGCAACACCCCTCCCAGCCTTTTTGGCAGCACCCCCAAATTTGCTGCTTCTGCAACAGTGGCGAAAAGTAGAGAGCTCTCCTTAGAACAAAACCTGCTCCCAGGAGCCCCAGTGGGGAACTGGGGAGGCAGCAGCAGATAATGGGGGTGGGTCCAGGCAGGGCAATGAGGCCCCAATCCCTAGTGCTGTCTATTCTTCAAATAAACCTTTCCCACACAATCACACAGTGATCTCACTCATGTGTTTGCAGACTTCACACACATGCACTGTATTCGTTTGTGTGTCTGTGAGAAAGGGAGAGAAATGGGGGCTTTTGTCTGATAGGATAAATTTCTCATACAAAGTTGGGCCTGCTGATTGTACTTTAAACCTTTATTTTACATCCCTAACCCTGAGTGCACCTCTATGAAAAAGACTGTGCAGCTCGACAACATGAATGTTGCAGTGTCTTCTTGTTTATATACACAAACAAACAAAAACCAGGAAGACCCAAGGTTTTCTCAGCCAGGATTCACCTGTTTTTCAGTGCCATGAATAGACAAATGAAGTAACAATAAGATAGAGAAGGTTTTGGCCAGTGTCTGTCTCTTGCTGCTAGATAACAGGTGAGGACAGGTAGAGAGAGGTTTTTAGATTCAAGGGTTTTTAGATCCATGCATGATCCATGCATGCTCGGACTTAAGAAATGCCGGCTCTTCACTGTTTGGAAATGAGACATTGGATGGAACATTTTCCCGCTGCTACATACCATTCACCACAGCTGCTGCTGGGGGCTTCTTGGTGACTAAGCGTGCAGTGGCGTTGTTGACCTGGAACAGAGAGGAAAGCAAGAAGTGAGGTCACACACACACACTTCAAACTGTTGTCACCCTTTCCCCAATAAGGCATTCAGACAGTCTCAACAAGGCTTCAGCAGAGTAGCCTTCAGGGTGGATTTGCATATGCAAAATGGGATCTATTTACATTGCATGTGCACTGAGGCACGTACACAGGCGATCATACCAGATCCTGCCCGCTGGACAGACAAGAGCATTAGATCATATTAGCAAACTCTACAATGAGAGGTTGCAGTGTGGACTGCTCTGGTTCAGGGCACTTCAGTCTCCCTCTCACATGGTTTTCTCTTAGTCACCTTGGCCAATAGTTCTCATCGGGTTGTTTTGGGGCTCTTCCCTCCCCCTGAGGGCAACATAAGGGACCACTGATTCAATAATTGGATTTACTATTAGTAAATAGGCTATTTTCATGGATAAAAGGGCCATTTTTGCAGGAACCAAGCATCTTCACCTAACAACTTTGTCTGCCAATCAGAGCTTATAGTATTTGGATCCTGAAAAACACAAACATACACATATGGAGAACAGGTAAATTCTCACCTCAATTTTCCTCCCTTCCACAATGCTGCTATTAAGCTTCTCCCGTGCCCGGTCAGCATCCTGACTGTTTTCAAATGTGACAAAGCCAAAGCCCTGTGAGAAAGAGACCTCTGTACATAAGGAAACTAGAAAGACCTACCTGTAAATGGAGCAGTCAACAGTGTTTAATTCCCCACTGCACTTTAAGACTGAAGTCCCTTTGAATTTAACAGCTGAAGTGTGCATTTATTTTAGACTATTGTAAGGTTCAGAATGTCAGGTCTGGAGTCCTAGCCCATACTTCCCGGGATCCTCTGTTGGCCTTTCCCCCATCCCTTGGCCCCACCCTTCTCTTACATGAGCAATCATTTAGTACTTTCCTGGATTTTCCATGTTTTTCCCCTCCCCATTCTATAATGTTGATTTATCTCTCCTAAGGCTTAGTTACTGGTATTAAGGGTTTTAAGCGAAAATATTGTTGTTTCTTTTTTGTTATGTTTCTCAGCCCTTCTCTTTTCTTCTGCCCCCAACTGAAATGGAGCCCCCACTAGTTTTTCCAAAATGAAATTCCGTTTTGGGCTCAAAAATCTTCCAGCAGTCCAAAACTAAATGAGTTAAAACTTCGAGCTGATCCAACAAAGCTTTTTGTGTATGGCAGCTGATGTTCTCAGGATCCTGAATGAGGCACCCAGGAGCATATCAGGACATGTTATCACCAACAAAAACTGTATTGCAAGTGCCAGCAGAGATGCCACAGAATCCCTCGCATCACCTCAGAGGACGCTGGGAAACATCCAACAAGGCCATGCGCTGCGTCAGTGTTTTGCCCAAAAACCGCTGGGACCCCCAAGCACCACAGGCTGGCATTGCTAGTGCTGTTTGACTGATCCTGCACCACTGTGCTGCAACTCTAAGAGCACAGGCATCGGACAGCTTTGCTGAGGAGCGCTTCCTTTCTTGTCCCCCTTCTTGGCAGCCAACAGCCAAGTACCTTAGAGCCACGCTCATTGAAGATGATCTCCACATCTAGGATTTTCCCAAATTGCTAGAAAAGAGGGAGAAAGTCAGTCATTGTAAGGACAACAAACAGCCCTTTGCTTGCCTAAAGACTCTTTGAGGGCCATGCCTACAAATAACAGGCCAAGACTGCTATGGCAGTCTTATTGCTAGGCCTGGGCTTATGGGGCACTGGCCCTGAATCAATTCCCAGGGGCCCCAAGTATCTACTGATGCCAACAGAAACATTTCTTCCTTTGCTATGCTTAATTGCTACAGAGGAGGAATTTTCAAGACTGCAGCTGGGGATGGGAAGGTCAACTCTCCCCTTGCCACAAGCTGCAACAGACATACTTTCCTGCAGAGCAGTTAAGCTAAGGGGGAAAACAATCCTGGTTCAGTGATTTGGGATGATCTGGACTGGGATGCAAATTGGTTGAAGAATATATTTTATTTGAGACAGCTTGGATGGAACATGAATGGGCTGGCATTGCTTTCTGTGAAATTTAAAGAAACCTAGCAATTATTTCTAAATTTGATACATAAATGTAAATTAGCATACATAGATTTGCATCCTAAGGGTCTCGGCCCTGGATCTTTTAAATGCTGAGCAACAAGCATGCAAGAAGCCATTAACAAAAACTCTGTAATTTTCCAGCAACTTGCCAAAGGCATGTTGGCTATGTATGTCCATTTGCTAGGACGGCAAGAGACTCCACGCATCTGAAGCACCTTGGCTCTGTCTCCACCTCTGTAAAAAGATGGCATCTGCAACCTAGCCCTTTTCATCCAACAAGGCATGGCCAGCAAAGCCTACGGAGCCAGCAACGGGTAGATAACAGCACAGGGTTCACAGCAGAGTTGGAAAGCTGCCCAGGCCCTCATCTTCTCCCAGACCAATCCCTGATTGAGCCTCTGTATTCTGGGAACCAGCAGAGAGGGTGGATCCAGGAGCATAGCACAGAAAAAGAAAAAGCACTGAGGCTTTTTCAGGGTGGAGGACCAACTCACCCCAAACATCTGCCGCAGGTCTGGGTCCCGGAAGCGGAAGGGGATGTTAGACACATGGAGGCGTTTGGGTTGGGCCTTGTTCTCACTGTTTTCTGCTTCTTCTGCTTCAGGAGACAGCTCTGGGGCAGGGACGTCTTCTGGCTGAAGTGGGGAAGGGGTGAAGAGGAAACGAAGCAGGATCACACACACCACTGAGGCAACCCTCCCCTGCCCCACCTGAGCAGACGGCGCGTGGCTTAATGGGACTCTGAGGGGCCAAGGAGGCCAGTGGTCTTCTGCCTTCTTTTGTTCAAGCACAGGCAGGATGAGATGGTCAAAACTGAGCCACTCTCAGCAATGGGCATAATTATTATTACCACCATCCAATCCATGTTTCAGGTAGTCGTGAGGGAAGGTACAAAGACTCTATACGTAGTGACTCCAGTCAATGGGACAGGCCTAAAAGTTGCCTGGCTGGTGCGGGAGGATGGAAAGAGAGATCGGTTATCATGCTGATTGAGGGGAGGCAGGGGGGTCTATTCAGGAACCCCTCCAAGACCAACAGACGGGGTGTTCTTGTCTCTGCATGCCAGAAACAAGGAGGACAGTTCATGTGTGTGGCAGAGGTGGGAGCCCACAGTAACAGAAGCCATCGGCAAATGTACTTCTACCGTTGAATGCTTGACTGTGCTTTCCACTGAGTTGCACTCTGGGTCTGTCCAGCCTAGAACGCTCTGTTCTTCTGACTGGCACCATCTCTCCAGGCTCTCGGGGAGAGGTTTGACTCTTTGCTCCCATATCGGCATTGGCCATGGAGAGAATCTGGCTCATGGCAGTTCCCTCCCAGGCCCCGACCCTGTCCCACTGCTGAAGTTCATGGGGGCCTTTCAAACAGCCACCCCTCCTCAGAGGCTCGGTCCAGCAAGAGCTGCATGACTGCTCTCTCTTGCAGAACTGGGCACCAAACTAAATGCAACATCAAGCCCACAATTAGCAATTGTGGGGGCTGTTCTTTGAGGGCAAGAGTATGTGACAGGGGGAGGCAGAGCCCTCAGGGGGCAAGGCTTGAAACCCCCCTTCTGCCCCCTGCCAGGGCTCCAATCCAGATCAGGCTCCCAAGCCTGCTTACTCCTTAAAAACCACACACACAATTGCTGATCATATGAACTGTGCTGTGTTTCATTTGACCTTTTGTTCCTTTGACAAATAGCTTGAGAGAGACCGGACTGGGAGTATCCGAGCAACTCATTTTCACCAACTCCCATTAACCAAAAAACCCAATCCTCCCGCTCCCCATCTCTCTTTTCAATAAAAAATGGCCCAATGCACCAGCAAACATTCTGCCTCGGGTTAATGAACAGAAGAGACACACACCGGCACACAGAATATTAGTGGAGAGAAGCAGGACAAGGTGAGAGAGGACGCAACTTGTGGGATCTTTGTGGAGAAGACGGGTGGGGGGCAGGTGACACAGAGAATCACCCCAAACTTGCACCTCTCTCTTCTCCATGCAAGATGGTGCCCACTCGACCCACGATGCAATCACCACGATGCAGCATGCCGAGGGCACAGCAAGGTGTGTGCAGCCTCTCTTGCAACGTCTTGGTGCCAAGGGGTGGACGGCGCGGCGGGGAGGGCGGGGGGCGGGGAGGAAGCAATTAATTTGGTGGGGGACAAAGTTGAACTTGTCTTTGAATACCTGGCTGTTGGCCCAGCAATGAGGGGCAGGGCCTCTTTAGGGACATGCATAACCACAGATGGATGCGACGCCAGTGCTGCCACGGGAATGGAAGGGTCCACTCTGCCTGCAAGTGAGTCCCTTGTGGGTGTGAAGCAGTGCCAAGTGTTCCATTTAGGGCCAAACTAGACATTGCACAGCAGACAAACATAACGGTTCCCGCTCTTTTCTTTTTTTTTAAAGGAAGGCCAAAGGTTTGAGTGGAGGAATAGGAGTGGACAGGTGCTTTTCAATGCCTTTTCCTTGCAACCTTTTTTCCACTCGATAATGTGTGCAGGGAAAGCATCCTGCAAATGCGATTCTCCTTCCCGCATGGATCAGTAGTGGTGGTAAGCATGGGACTGAGCTCAGGTAAAGCTTCCTCTGAATGAAGTTCCCACCATGCCTATGGTTACACCCAGCCCACCGTGGCTGAGCCCTCCTTCGGCTCCGAGAGCTGCTAGAGGTGCAGGGAAGGAAAGAAATAGGCTCTGAGTGGGGAAAACACAAGAGGGCTGCAAATCGGAGATGATGATATCTGGACTCCCAGGTAAAATGGCACAAATGGGCTACTGCACTGTAAAAGTCTCACCTGGAAGCACCCCATGGAGATAATCTAATGAAATATTGGGGAAAAGAGCATGCACAAGTTCATCCAGAGCCAGTTTTGATGGTTGTGATGCCTGCTATTTTTCTGCAAAAGCAAGGCAGTGAAGTTGGTAAAGACCTCCTCCTCCTTTGCCCTCCCACATTCCAAAGAGATGGAGAGAAAAATCTGTGTGACCCACGAGCCCCCTACCTAATACACACCGGATGGGAAACTATGTTGGGTTGGAGGCTGTGCCATGAGTATTCCTATCCAGATCCACTGTGTCTTCAGCAATGGACTGAAGGCACATAAGGCACCCACCATGTTGAAGCTAAGCAGGTCCAGGGCTGGCTTGAACCTGGAGGGGAGACCACCTGGGTACGTCATGAGGCCACCTTGAGTTTCACAGTGGGAGAAATATAATAAACAATGTATCCTCTTTTACAGAGGACAGTCCTCTATTTGAAGGGCCCTTTGGTCCAAGTCCACAACCATTGCGCATCCACTGCGAGCACCTGAACAGCAAGCTGAGCGGGCAGGCACACAAGTCACTTGGTCACCGTCTTCTAGACAAATGGTGAGATGGACTGTATTTTTCCTTCAACTAAAATGATTATTTCGAAATCTGCATCTATACATATACATCAGCACATGCAAATTCCTCTTTTTGGGTGATGCATTTCCTCTATTTCATTGGTAGTTCGGAAATGGCCATCCTAACAAGAACACCTAGAAAAGTTGCTATTAAACACAACACATAATCCCAATTCCAGCCACTCACAAATGCAAATAATCCACCAGGCAAGTAGCCAATTCACCCCCTCCCTGCCCACCACCCCAGCACGCCTCCCTCATCCCCCAACATCAAGCCACACGCCTCACCCCCTCCCCAAGCCAGATGCATCTCTCAAATGCTACAGACTCTTTTGCTCTTAAAGACAAGTTCAACAGGGATTAAAATGTCCCACCAGACCCAGCATTAGCTGGAAGGATAAAAATGCACAGGGGTGGTGGGATGGGGAGGTGCCAGGCTGAGAAGACAGGCAGGTGCAATTGAGCAGTGAGTAAGGAGTTAACTATCCACAGATTAATGAGACTCGAACAAGAGAAACGTGATTGGGAGTCCAAGATGCCTGGAAGAAAACCTGAGCTTGATGGGAGGTCCACGAACTCCGCTGTTAACACCCCAGGAAAGGCCCTAAGTCCAGGAAAGACACAGAGGTCATTGCGGGGCTAGATTTGCTACCGAGCGGGTGGTCTTTTGCAGGAGGTACCTTGCGGCAACTTTTCAGAAGGAGAGACACACACAGAGAGAAAGAGAAAACAGAAAATCACGCACACACGCCCCACAAACATCCCTCAACAGCCTCTGTTTTACACACAAGGGTACGTAAAGAGGTACCTGGAGCTAAAAACAAGATGTGCTAGAAGTGTACCACAAACCTCATCCATGGGGTTTAAGACACTGACACAGGAATAATGCAGATCTAGGCACACTATTGCAATATGAACTCAATGTTAGGAGTAAACATTCTGTCCATGAAATGGGGCTTGAAGGGCCCCGAGATCAGAGGGACAGCTGATCTCAGGTTGAAGACAAAAATCAACACGGGGTTGAATGTAGCAATATAACCACCTATTCCACATTGGCTTCTATAGCAGCCTCTCCCAGTCTGGCACCCTCCAGATGTATTGGATTACAGCTCCCATCATTCCCAGCCAGTCCTGCATATCTGAAGGGCACCAATTTGGGGAAAGGCGATCTACGCTGAGTATGTCTTTAGAGGCAGTAGGTATGCAGGCATTAAGTTTGCTGCTTAACTATTTGGTCACAGAAGCAGCGTGATAAACAGTGCAGATTCCAGGATTTGGCACAGAGTGGGTTCCTTGGGCATGAAACCTCTTCTCCCCGCATCCTGGTGGGGTGCCCAAACCTGGAAGAAGCAGGATATATCCATGGAGAATTCTCTCTGGCCGTATCCGATCCTGAGTACCACATGCAAAGTGGAAAGGCTAGCATGGCTACAGTGATGAGCCTCTGCAGGTCTCCAGGGCCTGGCAAATGCCCAGTGCTGCCACATTTTGGAGACCGGACTAGGTTTGGGTGCAGGGGAGGTGGAAATCCAAGCTGCAGCAGGGCAGGGGGAGGAAGACACAGCTAGACAGGCAAACAAGATTAGAGCGTATTTCTCCGCGAGATATTTCATAGCCTGGTTTGCATGAGGAAATCACAAGCATTGCTTGGACATAGAATAAGCAGGCCCTGGATCGCTGCATGGGACTGCCAGCTCTAACTGGCCCCTGCAGTTGTGCCATTAAGAACAGTTCGATGTGCAGGAATGAGCAGACAATCATGCTTAGCTCCACAGCAGGAAAAGTTGCTCTGCTGCTCTTAGAGCAGGCAAGGTCAGGTTCTGTTCTAGGCAGCTGGCAGCCCTGTTGGTATGGATATGGAGCAGAGCGTGGGGAAGCCAAGTTAGAGGTCCGCTAGGGATATTCGAGGGACACCTGAACAGACTTTGAGTCTTCCTTGGGAAGTGGTGGACCAGCCCTACCATACAACTAGGTGGAAGCAGGTTGCCCCAAGAGGCAATCATGGAGTGACCCTGAAAAGGCGCCAATCCTCGATCATTTGTTTTTCCCTACCTCCCGCAGGTGGAGAAAAGGGATGCATTTGGATTTTCAGCCTCAGACACAAAACTGCGCTAGGACTGTCTCTGTTTAATGTCTCGCAGAGGACACGGTGTCCTTGAGAAGTGGCTATCAGCATGGCACCACTTGTCCTGTGTAGAGATAAAACAGCTGCTGGAGAAGATGGTGAGAGGGGTGGGGGACGGGTGGAAAAGAGAGAGCAGG